ATCTCCATCCATCACCTCTTCTTTCCTCCTCTGGCCATGCTGTTAGAATGGAGAGCCAAGGCTGGAATAGATGCCAAGAGGCACCAATGAGGTCAGGCTGCACCTGGGGCTCAAGGGTCAAGAAGGTCCCAAAATGCCTGCATAGGTACCAGCCCACATCTTCATGGTGAGAGGCTCTTTAGGATTCAGGGTGTCTGAAAAAGCTCCAAAGCACGTATGTGCACTTTCCAAGAAAGCCCATGTGTGCAACAGCAGAAACTGCCTCCAGGGCAGGCACAGCTTACGGAAGGCAGACTTAAAGGGAAGTCAGTTGTGCTGGGCTATCGGGGAGACCAAAGGCGGAGATGGTAGAGGGGGTTATTGGCAGGCAGACAGGGCCATCATGTAGAACAGAGGACAAGCACAGCACAGAAGCCCTTGTGCTGTAGCTCTAGGCTAGGCTGTCAGCCCTGGGTGATGGACAGTTCCTGGAATAGGGGAGGGGAGTTTCTCCTGCCTTAGCTGCCCTCAGCACTGTTTGACTTGGGGGTATCTTTACCTGAGATGCTATGAGGCTATCTTGGGTTTTTTTTTTCTTTTCCATATGAAGTTGAGTACTGTTCTTTCGAGGTCTGTGAAGAATTTTGCTGGGCTTTTGGTGGGCATTGCATTGTAGATTGCTTTTGGTAATATTGCCATTTTTACTATGTAATTCTGCCTACCCAAGAGCATGGGAGATCTTTCCACTTTCTGGTGTCTTCTTCAATTTCTTTCTTCAAAGATTTAAAGTTCTTGTCATACAAGTCTTCCACTTGTTTGGTTAGAGTTACTCTGAGATACTTTATGCTATTTTTGGCTATTGTGAAGGGTGTTGTTTCTCTGATTTCTTTCCCAGTCCTCTTATCACCTGTGTACAGGAGGGCTACTGATTTTTTTTTTTGAGTTAATCGAGATAGCATGAGGAAGTGGATGCAATGTTGTCCACCCTGTAGACAAAGTGGGCAATCACCAAGGAGACAGCTACCCTTCCCAGAGAAGCTACTGAGCAGGAAGGCAGGTCAGACTAGAAGAGCCAAGGCATTCAGTTGGCCAGAAAGAGGCCAGGGCTCTGCCCTACTGCCCTGAATCTCCTTATCCATTGCCAGGTGCGGGGATATCCGGCAGGGTTTCTCACTCAGTTACCACAGACATATAACTTATCTTCACTGACTCTTCTCTGCTTTTTACACCCCTCTCCCCAACTTTCAATTTCCCCTTTTCTCTCCAGGATCCCAGAACCCTCAGGCCACACATCCATCTATCTGCTCTTCTCAAGAGAGAATCTTGGTTAGTTCCAACCTGGAAGGAGAGCACTGGGAGACAGGGTTGAATCCAAGGCCTAATCTGGAAACAGAGGGACTGGAGTTCGTTCTCTTACCATAGCCTCTGTTTCTCGGTCAGCTCATCCTCTTATGCTGTCACCATCTACTGAGTTTCTGCTGCAACAGGTGCCACCATGTTCTTATTGAGAACTGTAAGAGAGCTCACAACCACACCCAGCTGAAGGGATGAAAGCATGAATTCATACTCTGAACACGGGAGCTGTCCTCAAAGACTTTCCTACTTGGTCTAAATGCTCGTTTAACGTTGTTGGTTAACAATTACTCCATTCTACTCGTTAAAGCAGCTCCCCTAAGGATGCTTACAGGCAAAATGTCATAGAATTGACTTGAACTCCATAAAGCTGGACATGAATGCATTTGTATAACACACTCTCCAGCTCAGCCCGGGTTCAGAGATTGTCTACCAGACCTGACCATAGCCTTGACGAGCATTATCAGCCAGGATTTTCTTTGAGGCTCTGTTTGGAATTTTTCAGACTGGCTCTTTCTCCTCGTGGCTCCTGCTTGAACAGGGACTAGAAACTGTTGGCTGGTGCTCCTCTTTATCCTCTGGTTATATTTGGCTTCTCCTGACTTCCTTTCCAACCCTATTAATAATAAAATGCTAACAGGCAGCACCACACTTCCACATACCACACAACTATAGGGCGTAAAATATGGCAAGCACTGAATTATTCAGTAGGTGAATAATACCACGAAGATATGCTATATCCCAGATACAAAGCTGTTAGCTGGGATGACGTATATGACATCTGTCCTTGTGAAGCTCTCCCTGGCGGCTGCATATCTGCTGCCAGGAGCTATCCAGTCCATCTTAAAGAAGGCACAAGCTGCCCTGTCAGCCACGTGAAAAACCTCCCAGATGCAGCCTTTTCCAGTTATGTTCCTTGTTCTTCCCACGTTTGAGAACCACACGCGCTATGTGCAGTCTTTCACACGTGGGGCCGCCAGTAAGCCAACTGCTGTGCACAGGTCGGATGTCAAAGCTAGCTCCATCCAATTCCTACCCTCCTGGTTATCACACATCGTGGCTCTGACCCTCACAAAGAAGCAGCTGAGGGATTTCGTTTCCATCATTTTGTGCCCATTCTTGCCATCCGTTTTCCATCAGCAAAGTCAACACCTGGCACACATGGAAAAAATGTGTGGTAAGAGACTCAAAAACAAGACCACTACTATTTGATAAGAGCCACCTTGTCAGCCTCTGGGAAATCTATTCTTAACTATGTGTGGCTCACAGTTATTCTAGGAGAGCCACACCTTACAAATGGCTTCAGCTTTGTATTGAGTCTTGTATTAAATAAAAATCCAAGCGGTACAACTGGCTTATACTTTCTAAATAAACTTTCTTTTAGGAAAAGAAGGAAGTTGAGACTTAAAATTGAAATTGTTCCAAACAATTTGGGGTTGTGTGGTCAAGACACTTATTCTGTGACCAAAGGGTTTCTTGGTCACACGGCAGCTCTCCAAAAGGAACTCGGTTGCGAGGTAACATTGCTGAATAAAGAGCTTCTGAATTCCAGAAGGAATAGACTTGAGCAGGGTCTCCACACCTGAGGAGGCTCAGATGATGGGAAAGGGAGGATCTGAGTTATAAAGTGGAGGAGAGAGAAATAAAGAACAAGGAGATGAAAAAGGAAGAAGAATAAATGTGAGTCAAGAAAGGCAACAGAAAGCAAGAGAAAGGCAGTGGCTTCATATAAGGAGAGGGGAGGGGAGGGAAGGAGGAAAAGGAGAATGGGGGAGAAGGGAGGAGGAGGGGAGGGGGAGGGACATTACTGAGGACAGGGACAGAGAAGATGCTGGCAGTTGGGAAGTTTAGGGACGGACCTTGTGTTTTTGCTCAAAACTTTGGAACAGTAAAGATGAGATGACATTGTCAGAAACCAAGTGGACAGGTGTTCTGAGATAGGCAGGGTGGCCTGCATTGGACAACATGACTATACACATGGCCAGGCCTCAAGGGTCTGACGCTGGTCTCTTGGGACTATAGTTCTTCCTGTGTAAGTACATCCCATGGGCCCCTGGGATGCCACGGTACAGTGAGTGGTTAATTGTTGATTTTCTAAGTATTTTTATGAAGTCTTTGAAAATTCATACATGCATACAATGTGCTTTGATCACAGTTACTCCTCATTCCTCCCATCTTCCTCCTACCCAGCCCCACCTCATTTCCTGCCCCTTTTCAGTTTACACCCTTCTGGGTCCAAGCAGTGTTACAATACATGCATGGAGATGCACCACCCGCTGGAGAACAGCAGACCCAGGGACCACTCTCCTAAGGAAAGCTGACTCTCTCTCCCAGAGAAATCACCAACTGCTAATAGCTCCTCAGCTAGAAGTGGGGGCTCATGAGCCTCCCCGCCTCCATGGGGGAACATTCACTGGCTTGAGCATGTCTAGGTCTTTCTTGTACAGGCAAGCACAGCTATGAGCTTGTGTGTACAGTAGTCCTGCAATGTCCCAGAGTCACTGTCTCATCCTGGTCTTTCCCGACCTCTGACTCCTGCGATCCTTCCACCCGTCTTCTTTTGATGGTCGCTGAGGGGTAAGTGTGTGATACCCGGCCTGTGGTTGAGCCCTCCACAGACACTTCTTCTCTGCCCTCTGAACAGGTGTGAGCATCTACATTAACCACCATTCCTGCACAGGAAAGTTCTCCCAAGAGAGCTGAGAGCCGCGCGGCTCTATGGGTATATACGTTGTTAGACGACAGTTGGATGCTATTTCCATTTAGCATAATAACAATAGTAGATCCATTGCTGGTGCCTATAAGCTCCCCAGCTGGGGGCTCTTGATCAGATTTACAGCACCAACAGTATGGTGCATGTATTCTCATGAATGGTTGATCTTCTGTTGCGGGAGGTCCTCCCAATCCTCCAGCCTATAGCTGCTGAGATACCAGCCCATTGGGGCGTGGTCTCTCTCCCTTTAAAAAAGCGGCCACTTCCCTCTCCTCTCTCTCCAAACACAAAAAGCATCTGGTCTTGTCCACCCAATTTCTCCTCACAAAGGATGTGTTCACCTATGAATATTCTTTTATGCACCCAACAAGCACCCTAGCACTCCTCCCATGGAGGCAGAAGACCCCTTAGTTACTGAATTTCACCTTAAATGTTGCAACAGACCAAGAGGAAATAAACAGGGGAAGATGAAATGAATGTCACAGCACAGTGTTTTCTTGAAAAAAGCAACTCTGCCCCAGCCCTGGGAATCCTCCATATCCAGGCAGTGAACTTGAAAGCAATAGGGAACTTCTGCCCAGTATCCACTCCCTGAGGCCACCACACCCTCCTCCACTCACAAGCATTCACCACCTCAAGTCTGGAATCTCTGCTGTGTAGACAAGGCTCTTGCTCCCACCTACAAATGAAGGCTGAAACTCAGAGCTCCCTTCCCACTCTACCCAGAAGGCCAGTGTCTCCACAGTGTTATGGCGAGGTCCTATCCCTCATCCCTCATATCCAATCCACCCCTTGAGTAAAGGACACGGGAAGACCCCAAATACAAGGAGCTATGAAAAGGAAAAGCGAGTCACTCCTCCCTTGAGGCAGCTCTAGGGACAGGCAATGGGGTACAGACTGCAGAGTCCCGTCCCTTTGGGCTTTCCCTTCCCCCACCATTCACTGGGGTCTGTACCTGGATCTGTAGTCACTGATGTTCGGCTCTGTTGAGCTGTTGCTGTCATTAAAGAGCCCAGTCCAATTGGCCTGCTGGTCGCCCCTCTGCCAATCAAATTGGAAGCCTCTGGCAAAAGAATGAGGCAATGGATATATACACTCATATGTTAGGTTAGGCTTGTCTAAGAGCCACATTCTGTCGCTATAACCATGCGATACAATTCTTTGATTATAGACCAGAAGAAGAAGAAGGTGACAGTTCCATTCATGGGTATGATGGTGGGAAGCATGGCCCTCCGTGCCCTTGGTGACAGTTCCATTCATGGGGATGATGGTGGCGAATCATGGCCCTCTGTACCATCTTTACTGCATCCTTCCCGTACTCCATCGTTTTCACATTTTACAGGCAGGAAAACTGAGGCTTACCGAGACAAAAGTCACAGGGCTCTTCTACCTCCTCTCTGGTGCCCTCCCTTAATTCCTGTTTCTAGAGACTCAGCTGAGAAGAATTCTATCACCAGTACTGTGCCAGACAAAACTTCAAAGATTTTAATACCCATGTGAGGATCCCACTTTTTGTTTAAGAGGATGGACTTTGCACATTTGTATCCAGTCCCTCGCAAACCTGAGGATGATGGCAGCCAAGCAATGAGTCAGAACATAAACATGGGGAGGAGGCAGCCGAAGGGACCAGAAACAATACTAAAAGACAGCAAGCAGATGGGCAACTGACTCGGGTCAGAGACAACAGCATCCTGATGGCCTTCAAGAAGTAGATCCATTCCCAGGACATGACTCCAGAAGGGGCAGGAATGAAGAGGGCCAGGGCATACAGGTGGGCATGTGAGATGGTACCCAAAGCAGGAGGACTGAGTTTAGGCACCCTCCCCTACATGTGTGTACATGCAAACCCTCACATACCAGGTCCCTGTCCCACATTCCCCACAGACAGCCGTCAGCTTGCTCCTGGGGAAGTTGGCTCATGGAGGAGTACTGTAGCCAAAGTTGCCAGTGCCTCAGAGCCTGCCTGGGAGCTGAAGAATCCTGGCGGTGCACTACCCAACCCGAACCTCTGGTCTTGTGAGCACTGTGACTCTCATAAGGGAAACTGACCAGCTTCTAAAATGCTGAAGAAGAAAAGGGGGCACCCTCTTAAGAACCTTGGGACAAACTTTCTCCAGCTAGCACTGTGAACACCTGAGGTTGAAGAACCCTTTGTTGTGGAACTGTCCTGTGCTGCAGAAGGTGTTGAATGATGTCCCCAGCTCTGTCAGTTGTATCTGGCCTTTAGCTTGCCTGTTATGATTATCAAAGTGTCTCCAGATGTCAATGATTCCTGGAAACAAACTCACCCTTACTGGGAACCACTGCTATACAACAATGCATAGTATTTCCAAAGCCCTTAGCAACTGCCTGGCCCTTACGTATGAGGAAACGAGTGACCACTTCTGATAAAGGAAGCTTGAAATTCAAAGTCAGAACAGAATTAAGAAGGAAGGAAAAGGGGAGCTGTGGGTAGAGGGAAGAGGAGAGAGATGAAAAACTGGGGTAAATAGTTAATAAAATTATTAATAAGTAGCCTCTTAACTACGGGATGGGGAGAGCGGATGGTTTTTGGAGTTGTTCCATCCATACTCCTCCAATTGACTGGTGACCTCAGTCAGTTCTCTGCACTTCTTGTGGTCTCTGTCCCCATATTTCAAATGAAGAAACAGCCTAGGATGTCTCTGGCATCTTTGAGTGAAAGTTCAGCTCTTGTTACCATTCAGCTTGCTGAGGTCAGTTTTTCTCTATTCAGATGGAAATCCCCAGAAGACAAAGAATTGGTAGGCCTGGGCCCTTGAGCACCAAAGGCTGAGGATCCTGGAATGGCAGATTCAGATGCTTGTAGCTCTTAAACCCTGAGACCAGAGGCTTGTGGCTCCAGCTTCTAGAAGATGGAGGCTTACAGTTCTGGGTGCTCCAGTCATAGGCTTACTGCTCCTGGCCTCACCTAGCAGCATCTGTTGGGTTATTAGCAGCTGTAGTAATAGCACTCAGCACCTGCCTATGCCACAGTCCCCCAGGGCGCTGGAACCCTGAGCCCTCAACAGCACCTGTAAAGTTCTCAAGCCTCGTGTGTCAAGACCCTTGGGCCTTTGAGCCTTGGAAGTAACTGGAGCCCAAAGTCTGCTATAGAGCCTTCAGTCTTCTGCTTGCTTCTCCTTCTTCTCTGTCTCTAAGCTTTCACCATCACTGACTACCTCTGCCCACTACAGGAGGTGCTCAAACTCATGCTTGACCTCTTCAGCCACCTTCTTACTGCTATTGCTACTGCCACAGCTGCTGCAACAGCTGCCATCATTATCATAGCCATGGCCACCACGGCCCACTCCTCACATTATCAATTCAGCCTGTCCTATCCTAAAGACCACAAATAAATAAGAGTAGACCACTTAAGGACATCTTTTATTGGAACTAATGGTGCAACACAAGAAGGCAGAACACAGAAGACTCTCTTGCTGACTCAAAAAGTACAGGGCACAGCCTAGTAATGGTGCCACACTCAGAAGGGGTGTGGCATGCAAACATGGGATTGTACTTTGCACCAATAACATCACACCTTCCAGTTTCTCCTAGATCAATCACAATCCTTCCTGAGAACTAATCACAAATCATGTATAGGTACAACTGGTATCTGCCAACCGCAGGCTTTTTACACTGGGGTGTACTGTTCCTCATTCTACCTGTTGAAGGCAGGGCAGAGAACTCTGCAGCTACAGTTCAGGATGGAGCTTCAAGCCTGGTCATCTGGAAATCACTGAGGCCTGGAATGGGCAGAGTAAGTTCTCCAGTGTTGCCCTAGACTGGAGTAGATGTAACTGGAAGACACTTTCCTGAACATTCTAGCTACCAGTCATGGATGAAAGTGTTGCTTATGGCAGGAGTGGAGTTTCTCGAAGGTGTCCCTCAAGTATTCAAAGCCACCAGGATACCATAAAACAACCCAGTAGGTCACTTGAAGAGGAGCTTCTGAGCTGACTGCTTGCTGCTCAACATAAGGGAAGTTCATCATCTGTCAGTCAAGGAGGGTAAATGACTGACTTCCCACAATTTTGCTCATTCACAAGGGGACAAAAATTAAAGCACACTCACAATAAAGACCTAGAAAATACAGAGTATTTTCAGTCTAGCAGTGCTGAATACCCAACTATAAACCTTTAAGGAAAATCGGGCCCCTTGGATCTGCTAATTCCAGTGCCTACTATCTCCCTCCTTGGGAGTCCTGCTCACCTGTCACAAGCAGGCTGACCCACCTCCTAGCCAAGTCTGGTCTGAGTCCTCTTGGGACCTTACTAATGGATAGCTGTATACACAAAGTTCTCACTCTTCTCATGCTTTACTGAATGGCTGTTGCTGCCTTTCATCCTCTCAAGCCTCCACAGCGGAGAGAGCTTAGCCTGGAAGAGGAACAGGCAAGGTCCCTGAAACCAAGGCAGAAGAATGTCCATCTAGTTGCCAGGCTCTTTAGAAAAGAACAGCAATCCACCGTGGTCTGACCCTACAGCTGTACATCGATGTGTTTGTTGAAGTGATTGTGTGTTCTTTGCTCTTTAAGAAATCATGAGGTATGTGTCAACTTATGGGTGTGGTTTGCGCAGGGGAGGGGCTTTGCTGAGCCCTATCAAGAACAAGGACCACAGATGCAGGCTGCCTCACCATCTTCAGTTACAGATGAAAACCTTGAATCCCAGAGAGCTTTAGTCACATGCCCAAGAGCCCGAGGCTAACAAGTGGGCAAGACCACTGCCCAGGACTGACTTTAAAAACTCTTATTTCTAAAAGCCCTAACCAAAACTACCCATAGACAAGGAAGACCTTTCAACCTGAGATTTTGTCAGCTAGTTGGTTATGCTGGTTAGTTTGTCAACTTGACAGAAGCTAAGGTCATTTGGGAAGAGGGAAGCTCAGTTGAGAAAATACTTCATTAGATTGCCCTGTTAGAGAACCTGTGGGGTATTTTCTTCAGTAGGATTGACGGCGAGGGCCCATACTACTGTCGCTAGTGCCATTTCTAGGCAGATAAGTTGTCTTGGGTTATATCAGAAAACAGGCTGAGCAAGCTATGGAGAGCAAGTTTCTTAGGGTTTCTATTGTTGGGATGAAATACCACAACCAGCAAGTTGGGGAGGAAACAATTTATTTGGCTTATACTTCTACATTGTCATTCATCACTGAAGGAAGTCAGGACAGGAACTCAAGCAGGGCAGGAACCTGGAGGCAGCAGCTGATGCATAGGTCATGGACAGGTGCTGCTTACTGGCTTGCTCCTCATGGCTTGCTCGGCCTGCTTTCTTATTAAAACCAGGAACACCAGCCCACAGATGACACCATCCCCACCAACCCCTAATTAAGAAAAAGCCTTACAGATAGACCGTATGGAGACATTTTCTCAGTTGAAGTTTCCTCCTTTCAGATGACTCTAGCTTGTGTCTAGTTGACATAAAGCTAACCACGACAATTGATCCCTTGTCAACTTGACCCAAAAACATATCACTGTTAAAGTCATCACCTTTCCTTTCTTGTTCATCCCCAAGATCACACATTAATATAAACATCACAATATAAAACATTCTACAAACTTAAAAAGTCCCACAGTCTCTACAAATTCAAACACTGAAATTCAGTCTATTTAAAAATCTAAAGTCTCTTTTAAAACCTAAAATCCATTTTAAATTCAGTCTCTCGACTGTGGGTTCCTGTAAAATAAGTTAAATACTTTCTTGTTTCAAGAGGAAAGAGCCAGGACACAGCCACAGTCTGGACAAAGCAAAATCAAACTCCGAAAGTCTCCAATTATCTGGGATTCACTCGTGATCTTTGGGGATCCTCCAAGGGGCTTGGGTCACTTCTCCTGTTCTGCCCTCTGAAGCACACACAGCTTGTTTCTAAGGCTCTGGATGGCTCCACTCCAAAACTGTTACTGACTGTTCTTGGTGGCTGTTCCATGGTACTGGCATCTCCAAAATGCTGTGTTCTCTGTGGCAACTGGGCTGCACTTTCACCAACAGCTTCTCTTGGGCTGTTTTCACAATACAAAGCCTCAACTTCTCTCATTACCCCTTCAGCTGTGCGCCTTCAATGGCC